TAAACTAGCCAATGTTCACCAATTTAATCATATTACAAGTCGAGTAACCAATTTAATATATAATGTTATGTCATCCAAAGGTCACAATCATCTATTATTCTTCACAATTCAAGTCGATTTCTTTTTTAATAAATCACTACTTTTTTCCACATGCTGTTAATTTAAATATACATCTAACAAAGGACTTCTCAATTGAATAAGAACTCCTGCAACTACTGTCAAAGGCCTTTAAAAACGTACACCGCTTTTACTCAATAGTGAACTATTACAACTGTTAACACTGTACTGTCAAATCATTTATTTAATCACATTCTTATATCGATGTATATTAAAGATACATTTATTTTCTTTTATATAGAAGAAATTAGGTTTATCTTCTTTTCATCTTCGTAATATGCCTGAAATTAAATTTTCCAAGCGTCTCAAGGAAATCGGAAATTAAGTTTACTGCTTCTTTTGAGTAATAATTTGAAAAGATTTCTACACTTATCCTCAATCAGGTGGAAAAGTAGCAATTTATGTCTGAATCAAATTCTAATTTTTGCACCTGTTGCCGTTAACTACTATAACAAAATATTTCAAAAGAAAAAAAAGTATTTAAGAAGTTTCAAACAGTGAAATTGATTAACTTTTCTAGTGACAGATATTTCTTTTTTAATCTCATATTACTATAAGTAATTACAATTTGGAGATTACAAATTGTTGAAATTTTTTTATGTTTGAGAAAAACTATTTTGTTCTGTTTTATTCAATAGGACATTAGTCTGTGAAATTTCTTATTTTTTTAACAATTGTATTTATTTACATTTATGAATTTAAAGATTTTCTGAGGAAAGTTACAACCTTAAATTTTGTATTAAGCATTCCCATTCATGTTTTCACTTTTGTCGTTTGAAGGACAGGGGGTGGATTTAATTATTTTTTTTCTCCTGTCATTACTTACGAAGGCTTTTATATCTAAACACAACTCTATCAGAATTCATCCATTTAAAAGATTGCTGGGAATAAACAACACTAAATTGTCCCACCTGCTACAGTATTTGAAATATTTCATAGTTCAAATAAATTTGAACCTGCGGTCAATGTCAAATGAAATGTTTTTCTTACATGAGTTCACATACAAAACATATTAAAAATCAAAAGGTCATAACAGAGACATTACATTACACCAACCAAAGTGTTTAGTCAGAATGGTGCTGAATCAGTTTAAACTAGACCTGCAACTTAAGTTTGACCTCTGACATGTACACCTTGAAATCCTTTCATACACCAAATAAAGTTGATCTGTGCCTAAAGTATCTGAGAAACGGACTTAATCACAGAAACTTAATGTGACCAACGAACCATAAAAATGAGTTTAAGACAGATGACCCTACCAGACAGACTTGTACCCTTAAAAATCATTCTTTGTACCAGATTCAGTTGACCTATTACTTATAGAATCTGAGAACAGACCTAACTATGAAAACTTCATCAACATTCATCACTGATCCATGAAATCAGGTCAAGGTCGGGGTGAACCCTGTGATCGAGGAATCTGAAATATGCCAGACAGAAATTTCAGAACATATGGCATCTGTAAACAGACATGAAGTATACAGGTCTTCTACCTGTTGAAATATAAAGCTTTATACATTCTGCCACAATTGACACAGGCAATTTTTTTCCCTCAAGATTTAAGAAACTGTCAATTTTTCCAAAGAAAAAAATTGGGGGTCACAATTTATTTTGCTAATTCTTTGCATAGTCTGAAAACAGATTTACTAAGTATTGCACAACAGCAAGAAATCTTCAATTGAATATAAATTCAAATCATACATTTGGAAGTTATTGTCCAGAAACCAAATGTCTTTGGACAACGCTGACCACGACCTGATACTAAAACAAGAGTGCACACGCTGAAATGTCTCGCCTTCTTTACTAATCATTGATATTATGTTGATAGTCCTAAATATAAAGCTTTATTACAACTGTCACATAAACTTAACATTAACCAAGTAAACTAAACATTGACCAATGAACCATGAAAATGAGGTCAAGGTCTGATGAACCATGCTAGGCAGGCATGTACAGCTAACAATTCTTCCATACAACAAATATAGTTGACCTATTGCTTATAGTTTAAGAAAAACAGACGAAAACACAAAAACTTAACACTGAGCAATGAACCTTGAAAATGAGGTCAAGGTCAAATAAAACCTGCATGACTGACATATAGATCATAAAATATTTCCATACACCAAATATAGTTGAACTATTGCATATAGTATTAGAAAAAAAGACCAAAACTCAAAAACTTAACTTTGACCACTGAACCATGAAAATGAGGTCAAGGTAAGATGACACCTGCCAGCTAGACATGTACACCTTACAATCATTCCATACACCAAATATAGCTGACCTATTGCATGCAGTATTAGAAAAAAAGACCAAAACTCAAAAACTTAACTTTGACCACTGAACCATGAAAATGAGGTCAAGGTCAGATGACACCTGCCAGCTAGACATGTACACCTTACAATCATTCCATACACCAAATATAGTAGACCTATTGCATACAGTATAAGAAAAACAGACCAAAACACAAAAACTTAACTATAACCACTGAACCATGAAAATGAGGTCAAGGTCAGATGACACCTGCCAGTTGGACATGTACACCTTACAGTCCTTCCATACACCGAATATACTAGACCTATTGCTTATAGTATCTGAGATATGGACTTGACCACGAAAACTTAACCTTGTTCACTGATCCATGAAATGAGGTCGAGGTCAAGTGAAAACTGTCTGACGGGCATGAGGACCTTGCAAGGTACGCACATACCAAATATAGTTATCCTATTACTTATAATAAGAGAGAATTTAACATTACAAAAAATCTAAACTTTTTTTTCAAGTAGTCACTGAACCATGAAAATGAGGTCAAGGACATTGGACATGTGACTGACGGAAACTTCGTAACATGAGGCATCCATATACAAAGTATGAAGCATCCAGGTCTTCCATCTTCTAAAATATAAAGCTTTTAAGAAGTTAGCTAACGCCGCCGCCGCCGTAGCCGCCGCCGGATCGCTATCCCTATGTCGAGCTTTCTGCGACAAAAGTCGCAGGCTCGACAAAAATTATGCGGTCGTATAAAAACTGCAAAATTTCCTTGATATTACCAATTCAGGGGCAGCAACCCAACTACGGGTTGTCTAATTTGTCTGAAAATTACAGGGCAGATAGATCTTAACCTGATGAACATTTTCACCCTGTCAGATTTGCTCTTAATACTTTAGTTTCAGAGATATGAGCCAAAATCTACATTTTACCCCTACGTTCTATTTTTAGCCATGGCGGCCATCTTGGTTGGTGGGCCGAGTCATCTGACATATTTTTTAAACTAGATACCCTAATAATGAGTGTGGCCAGGTTTGTTTAAATTTGGACAAGTAATTTCAGAGGAGAAGATTTTTGTAAAGTTAACAAACGACAACAGACGCCAAGTGATGAGAAAAGCTCACTTGGCCCATTGGGCCAGGCGAGCTAAAATGTCCAGCTAAAATGTTTTGATCCTTCATACTACTATTCTAGTCCAGTAACGAAAATTGTTTTTAGTCTTTAAAAAAAATGCTGTTAATTGACAACAGCTTAAATCAGATCATGTAACAGGAGGTTAAAGATATCTAATATAGATTTATTTTTTTTAAAATGTTTTCAACATATATATATATATCATAGTATCGGTCGAATGTTTTCAAATGACTATTTTTACAAACCTTTTAAAATCAAAAAGTTAACTATGTTTATCTTATAACTTAAATATATATAAAAGTAAATAGTGTAAGATTTGAACCAAATTCCTATGTTAATTTTACTTCTCCTTCTAATCAAGGTATTTTGGGGTCTATAGTATGAAAGATGATATCAATATTCATCAGTTTCAAGGTAGAATAGAAAGTGTTGGCTGCATCAATTCATTTTAAACTTAAAAATGTTAGTAAAGTTTAAGAAAGACTTATTTTGCAATTGTACAAAAAATGGAAAATGCAAAACAATTCTATTGAATAACTTAACTTATATGCAATACTATCAGAATTGGTGTGCTTGATTAAAATTTCAGTCAAAATTTCTAGATAAGTCCCTGTTTAAAGGGTATGATGGCCTTTCATATAATAAAGATGAAATGTACTTACACAAGATTATATAAGTTACAAGACCTTTGATCTTACATTGATTTTTGAACCCTTGGGATTGTGATATTCATTTAGGTTATCAAAACAAAAATATTTGAAACAAAATCCTGATTCCCTTTGTTGTAGAAATCGAGAAAAAAATCTAGTTGAATGAGCAATTTTAGCCTGCATTCATTAGATTTACATACTAATCTATCCTGTAAGTGACACCCAACATTTCATACATTGATTTAACAATTAACTAATGGAACTGATATTGATTTTTAACATGTTACACCAAGAATTATAGAATTGCATCTTTTAACTGTGGTAATGTAGAGACTTTGACATTTTTCGCCCTTACTATTTCAAGAGTAAAAGAAAAAAAGACAGTTTTGTAATTTTCATGTTTCTTCTGTATGTAGTACACTAAGTTCTTGTATATGAAACAGGAATTTTTCTTTTGAGAACTCAAGTCTTGCAGTGCTATTGTATAAACCTTTGTAAAATCTTCCTCCCAAAGCTATAAGGATGAAGGGACAACACAAAAAGGATTTTGTCCCTTTTTTTCTCTAGGTAAGCCCTGCCTTTTAAATGTACTATGCTGCTTGCAAAGATGATACTGAATGTAATAAACATCTTTATGGTTTGAAATGCTTATACATTCTATTGACTAATGACATTTTTATACATTTATTTGTATAAGAACACATCGGACTACTTCAAAATGTGGAATCTTCAACTTCCTTATTGCATGCCAGAACGTCACCTGTTTTATTTGTTTTACTTTTGACATAAAGTGGAATTATAAGGCACAGACAGATAATTAATTTAGCTTACCTGAACATTTCTATAAGTGCATCCGAAGGACTAGTCTTTCTGCCAGACAATAACAACTGTAATTTCCCCACGCTTTGAGTGGCTGTTGACACTGGTGTTATGGATGGGTCTTTGTCTTTCAAATATCTTCTCCCCGTCAGCGGAGTTAGTGGTGCCAATGATTTAGTCTGATCAAAAAGCAAAGAATAACATGGACTTTTACTATATGGCCAGCTGTTTTTCTGTTGGCATAAACACAAGTCATGCTTACGAAAATAAACCTTTCGCATTATTGGGTGCACTAACATTGTTTTTATCCATCTGATTTTTTTAACGACTAATTGTTCAAAGTCTCAGTTTTAAGTCCTGTTTTCGAACCACAAATTAGCACGAATATCCACATAATTGTCTCAAATAATCAATCTTAAATGTTCAATCGAAACCAATTTGTTTTCATTCATTCATACATAGGGATTTAAATTTGTTTACATTTTCTTCCTGTTAATCTCATTATCAAGTCCATATGTTATCAAATTATTAATCGTGCATCCTTCATAAAAAATTATACAGATATATTTTTTAATTTTCCACTATTTATCCATTCTATTTCAGCTTCCCTACGATTTAAATCCCTTCACGATCACAGATATGAACCATTTACTTGTATTTCTTTGTTCCAGTGCACTATATATACAAAGTATTGAGGGAAACTAGAAACAAGTTACGACTTGTTATTTTTCTTTCTCTTTGTAACACCTAGGTAGCTTTCTCTAAATGTGTTACATCGTCATTAAATATAAAATCTGATTACTCAACACATTATCTGTTTTGATTAAATATTAGTAGAAATGCATTTTTAATTTATTTTTTTTGTGTATTCACTTATCATAAATAAATTAAACCATCCATACTGTATCATTTAATTTATCTTTTCCTGAATCTATTTTAATCATCATGACTTATTGTTTTTAGCAAATTTATTCTTGACTTTTTTTGGGACATATATTTATCTACCTATTTCATATTACACCCATAAGAATCAAGCAATACATCAAATCCATAAATAACATAAGGAGTAATAAAAAAAGTTAACATTATTTACAATAAACAGTCTATATCGGGCATGGACCTTTTATTTTTTATTCTAAAGTTTGTTTTATCCATAAAAAGTCCATTTGGTCATAATATAATGATTTTGTCTAATTACATAAATTAAATTATTTATAATTGAACTGCCCATTTATGTATCAGAATCCTCAAAGCTAATTAATAGCATTATATTTTTTTTTACTAACATGTAACAAGACCCTCAGCAGAGCAGCATTTCACAAAGGATAAATCTATTCTGACATGTTAACATGTTCTCGGCTGGAAAGGGTGCAATATAAGGCTTAGGGAGGAGGGTAGGTCTTCCAAAATCACGAAAAAATTGTAAATAAGTAAAACAATATGAGCAACAGTACTGCAAAAAGTATAATCGAAAAAGGCAGATGTAGTATTTACATTTAAGGGATACCATTCTTTTTGTTTAGGGGATACTTTATCATTAAATGTTAATTTTCAAGTACAAACTGAAGGAAACTCCTAAGTTTTCTATAAAAGTGTCTTCATAAAAAATTTGTAAGGGTTCCGTGGAACCCAGTGTCTCGCCTACTTTTTCTGTTAATGGCAGACTCAACAAAAATGAGGAAGTAAATCAATAAAAATATTCCTCTTGATACTATCTTTTGATTGTAAGAAGCTTCTGTCCAAGTTTGGTAAAATTCCAGGATAGTTTATGATTTAAAATAACTGTTTAAAACTTTAACTGCAGACTGAATTTAATGTTAACTGGAAGAAAACAAAATTTCCTTCTAGATACTAGCATTTGATCATAAACAAGCTTCTGTCCAAGTTTGGTACAAATCCAAAATAGTATAAGAAAGTTATTAAAATTTTAAAAACTTTAACCACAGAGTGAATATGTTGTTTCCTGGCAGAAAATCTAAGTCCATTTAAAAGTAAAATACGGAAAAAATGGATTTATTTTTTTTACAAAATTTCCTTCTAGATACTAGCTTTTGATCATAAACAAGCTTCTGTCCAAGTTTGGTACAAATCCAAAATAGTATAAGAAAGTTATTAAAATTTTAAAAACTTTAACCACAGAGTGAATGTGTTGTTTCCTGGCAGAAAATCTAAGTCCATTTAAAAGTAAAATAAGGAAAAAATGGATTTATTTTTTTACAAAATTTACTTCTAGATACTATCTTATGATCATAAACAAGCTTCTGTCCAAGTTTGGTACAAACCCAGGATAGTTTAAGAAAGTTATTAAAATTTCAAAAACTTTAACCACAGAGTGAATATTTGTGGACGCCGCCGCCTACGACGCCGACGGAATGTAGGATCGCTATGTCTCGCTTTTTCGACTAAAGTCGAAGGCTCGACAAAAATGTAGTATCTAAAAAATCAGCATATATGAATTTATATGAATTGGTTTCATTTGGAAAGGGATGGGGTGAATGGCTATTACCACTACCTTTGAACCTGTGTCTGGTTGTTGTCTCTTTGACACATTCCCCATTTCCATTCTCAATTTTAAATCTTTATTCATAAATGCAATTTTCATGGTTTGTAGAAATGTTACTTTTGTTTGTGGGATTTACAGTTTGTGTTAAAAGACTATATTTAATTAACAGGAAAATACACATTTTTTTTTTTTTCGTTATAAACATTCTGTTGATGTAAATTGAAACTATTCAAAATGAAACCTTCAAACAAATATCAATTTAGTCTCACTCAACAAAAAGAGAAAGAGTCTTTTCTATGCAATTTGTACTTTAAGGCAGTTAGCAAAAATAAAATCAAAGCGTTATAGCGCTGGAAAAAGCATTTGCCGTATATCTTATAGAAGAAGAAAATTTCAAAATCTAGAGCGCTTCTTTTAAACTGTTTCCATACGAAATAATGGGCATCGTAAACCTGTCCAGTAATGCTATATCTTAATACCACAAACTACCACGTGAAGATAAACAACTTGTTGCAGATCGGCAAACACAGTAAGGTTTACCAATACGATACTACGATTAAATTAACAAACATATTTTGATATTTAAACAAGCAAGAGAGCACCTACTAGTTCTTTTATAACAGCAAATCTAATTAGTAAAAAATATTAACCGTGTTGGTACACGTAAAACTGGTAATAAGACGGATCGAGATTAGTCGTCAGAGGGCGGTGAATATCTTGAATCACTGCGTTCGTAAATGAAGTCTGTTATGTAACCTTTAGCGGATCAAAATTTCTGTGCAAAAGGGTTAACTAATAAACTTCCAATTCAATATTGCATTTGAGGAATGCTTAATCAAATTAGCTTCATTTTCAATACAAAAGTCAAGCAAACACATACTTTTACATGATCTTGAAAGAACTGTAGAAAGAAAAACGTGTGCACTCTATTTTGACGATAAACAAAATGGCCATACAGGATGACAGTAAAAGCAAATGCTTTTAAAAACAAAACAAAACAAAAGTGATTATTTTGTTTTTGCACATTTAACATAAAATTCCAAATTGTTTTCATCATGCTTTTACCACTCTAGATTCCTTGTGGTAGGGCAGTGGACCATTTTACTAAATTTATGAAATTCACATTTAAGCACTATTAAACTTATAAGTATTATTGTTATAGTTGCATATTAGGATCATTTGTAATTTGACTTAATTTTACAGCGTAGAACCATGTGCACCATGAACATCATGTGCTTGGTTTTTTTTCAACTGATTAAATCGTTATTCATATAGAAGTATTATATACATTCGACATTTTTAAATACATTTGACCGATTTTTCATTCATTTTAAACTTTTTAAAACTATGCTTCATTGTTTCTTTGGTTTTTGAACTTACTGAATGCAGAGATTAAAACTGAATAATAAGCATGAAAAATTGAACTGTGGCATATCAATTTTAGAAATTTAACATGAATCTTTAATTCATAGTTCAATCTATTACATATATTCAATTGTTGGTGTGCAATCAATAATTTTTATTAATACTTTTATGTAGTTCACATGCACTTTAACATATTAATAATTTATATTAAATTCTGTCTAAATATGTTATTCAATATAAACGGATATCAAAACAAATTTTGCCATGCTAATGTTACACAATATTAAATTACTTTAAAACTTTACAATACATATTGGGGGAAATTCTTTTTAGTCTACTAAAGCATGTAGAACATGTAGAAAGAGAATATTTCAAACCTGTGTTCCTTTTAAAACTGAACATTCAATGTAATAAGTATAATAAGAACTAGTGCTTACTATTCTAAAGAATAGACGATTGTTTTTTTTAAAGTTACTTTAAAACTAACACACTTCAAAACTAACTCCCCCCCTTTTCCCCACAGCTGATTAATGGATAGCATAACAAGTATTAACTTAGAACTGTCACAATACAGCTACCTAACAAAAGGGTTTTTTTTTTGGAAACAATGGCCAGGGTTCCAATTCATTACCACCCTGCCACGTTTATGTGCCTGTCCAAGGAAAGGAACTTCATCAGAGGTGGTCTCATGTTATATCTTTAATAGTCTCTTTTAAGTTTATTCACATTTAATTTGTTACTTGGGGCGATTTAGAGCTTAGATTAATTGACTGGTGGTGTTTAATGCCACTTTCAGCACTGTTGGCTATGTCATGGTGGTCCGTTTTTAATGGTGGAGGAAGCCAGAGTGCACCAAACAGAACCACCAACCTTCAGTCGGAAAACTGGCAATCCTAGTCTTTCAAATTAGAGTCGAACTCACCTGCCTCGTGAGGGGTTCAAACTCACAACCTCAGTGTTGACAGGCTAGTAAAACAGTAGATGAACAACTTACAACCACTTGGCCACCTGTCTATTAGTGAAAATGTTAATTGGCATTTCGCATCTTTGGGTTACTGTCATATTAACATATACACCATATCTCCATTCATTCACATATTAGTCAATGAAAATATTGAAATGGACAATTTGACTATACTGTGACTGATATAAGTCATCCTGGTAGTAATAATATTATAGAAAACTGTCAACATTTTGTTGAAATTAAACACAAAAATTTGATTGGTTGACCAATATGCATTAAAATTGACATACTTTTTATTATACAGGTTAATAACACTGAAAATCAAACTCAGGGGATACTCATGATACATCAAACTCAGGGGATACTCATGGTACATCAAACTCAGGGGATACTCATGATACATCAAACTCAGGGGATTCTCATGATACATCAAACTCATGGTTAAATGTATATGAATTATAGCAGACATTGAGTATATGCCAACGAGACAGCAACCCAACAACACAAAAACCTAATAGACATCTGAAGGTATCCATGTATGTACGTATGCAGAGCCTCTACATTCAGTTATATTTTGTAAACCTGGGTGGATCAATATCTTCTAGTAATAACAAACGTAAAATTTCGTCAATTTCCAAAATGTAAGAATATTTGAGTTGTTATTTTTAAAGATTAGTAGAAAGTGTTATATTAGATCTTTTTGAAAGTATCTACTTTACTAAATCTCAAAATTTCTTTGACACTCACCGGTGGTCTTATAAATAAATCTATCAAACACCTGGGTCATATTCTTTATTTTCGTTTTTAATTTGACGACTTTCTATCACCTGGTCGTAACAACCTGATGTCATATTGACATGACATAACTTATGGCACACCGTCAATTTCTTCTCGGTTTATAGCGAGTTTCAGGTACAAGGCATTAATTCAACAAAGAGGTAATTACCTTGCATTTATGAGATCACTACATAAACGATACAAATGTAAGCAAAAGGAAAGGTGTTATAAATTCATGCATGATTTATTGAACATGATTATTATTTACAATTAATAACTAAATCAAACACCTCTATAAATCATAAAAGCCAAAAATAGACAATATCATATATTGCCAAAAGAATTAGTGCAATCAATTCAGATCTAAATTAGCGTTTCTAATATATAGAACAGGTGAATATATTGACTGAGGTCCTAGCCGCCAAAACTAGTAAAAGCTTGTCTAGAAGATTACAATGAAAAAAGGAGGCAAAAGTCAGGTGCTGGCATGAGGCCAGCGAGAAAAAACACAATACATATCAATTAGTCTTATCATTGTTAAACAAACCGTGATAGATCTTCATAGATCTTAAGAGGATTAATGTCAAAATCATCAGGAGAGAAATAAAGGAGGGAAAAAATTCTCTGGGATCATGGAATCATTTAGATTCACAAAAAATAAAACTTTCAACCCAAAAATGAAATATCATTTATCATATCATGCATCTTAAACTCTCTTTAAATATAAAGTTTACTTTATAACTGTTGTTTTGACAATATCCATTTAACTAAATATTGACACTGTGAAAGATTTCAGCAGAGATAAAAAGATAATACCTGCTATGTTTAACTGACTATTAAGAATCAGCTGATTATCTGGCACTTGATCAAATCTTACCAATTCGATTGTTCTCTAATTGTCGGAGGTCTCAATCAAATTCGTATGATAAAGACGTGTATTTGTTTATAAATCAACAAACACGAGTGGATAAAATACATGTCATATTTCAACTGTCAGACGCCAAATCAAACAAAAACTTCTTGATCATATATTAATGTCTTCTTGATTTCCTTTTGTGGGTTTATCTTATTTCTAAATTTATTGAGAGCTCCACTGCTTATAGTATGCTACACTTAAAGGTTCTTGAACAAAATATAATAATATTTAATAAAACTTCAACTAGCTATATATATTTCTTCATTTTCAGTCTGAGTGTTATAAAATTAGGCTTCACATTATATTCTCTAAACACTAAAAATATTTCTAACTTCATTATGTACTTAAAGGACTCTAAAATACTTGTTCATGCAACTTGAAAAAGACAAACAGAAATACAAGTAGATAAAATGTTTTTTATCCTTGCTTTTTAGAGTCACGATAAAGAGGTTATTTTAAGTCCTTTATCGTGAAGTGTATGGTGAACAATAAAATGACCTAATCAAAGGCAGCATTTTTTCTTTATTAAATAACATCATTATTTTCAAGTACATTCTGAAAAAATAATTTTGATATCCTTAATAAGAAAGTTAAACACAGAATAATGTGAATACTATTACTAATACAATTTAGCGGTATTACTAAAGGAGAACAAGTTCGGATGAAACATGTTAATTAATTTTCTCTCATATCCATTTCTATGACCTTTCCTTTGATCTTTCTTTCTTGTTTGTTCTATGTAAGCAGAGATTTGTATTTTGATATTTTATTCATAAGGATTAATATTTTTATTGAAGAGAGTAAAATCTAAAATATTTCAAGATGCTAATTTTTTCTTACATGAAACAGGATTTGTGTCCTTAAATTCAGAAATTATTGCGTGCTTTTATTATTGCAATTTTGTAAAAATGGACAAAAAAGCGAGATTAATTATTGCTATTTCAGGAAAATCTGCATACAGATATCAGAATGCAAGTTCATATTATTGCGATATTCACGCAGTCGCATTATTTGCATTAATAAAAACCTCACAATAAATTCCAAATTTACAGTATATAAAAAGCTGTGAGTACCTAATACATACATCCCTTATTTTGAACATTTATGTCTAATCATTCTAGAACAACAAATCCTAAATTATTAACAAGAGTGCACACACTGTCTCCCCTGCTTTACTGACCATTAATTTTATGTTGAAAGTCTTAAATATAAAGATTTTACCACAAGTATCACATAAACAATGAGGTTAAGTATACACCTTACAATTATTCCATACACCAAATATAGTTGACCTATTGCTTACAGTAATTGAAAAACAGACCAAAACACAAAAACTTAAAATTTACAAATGAGGTTAAGGTCAGATGATACCTGCTAGTCAAACATGTACACCTTACAATTTCTCCATACACCAAATATAATTGACCATACTGGTATTAGTTATTGAAAAACAGACCAAATTACAATAAACTGCTTCGCCGAGCGCAGCTGGATACAGCTGCAGAGGTCCAACCCTGAACAGTTGGGGCAAAAATGGACACAATATTCAAGCTTGAAACAGGTCTGAATTTGGATTGTAATTAAATATTTGACACATTATAGGTTTCTGACACAGAATACATGTAGTCAAAGAACTTGAAATTGGTTATATGATTTGAATTTATATTCAATTGAAGATGTCTTGCTGTTGTGCAATACATTGTGCTGTTGCGCAATACTTAGTAAATCTGTTTTCAGACTATATACAAAGAATTAGCAAAATAAATTGTGACCCATTAACTTTTTTGTTGGAAAATTGATAATTTCTTAAATTTTGAGGAAAAAAATTACCCCCCAAAATGAATCCAAACCTTCTACTTGTGGTATTGAACCTTGTGGTACAATTTCAGAGCAATCAAAATACTTATACCCAAGTTATTGTCCTGAAACTAGAAAAATTTGTAAGGGTTCCGCGTGCCTACTTTTGCTGTTGTCTATGTTTTCAGTGTGATAGGGGAATGCACATAATAGATTTACAGTTAATGAAATAAAACTTTTGAAATGTATGAAAAAAGTTATGCTTGTAAAAAATGAATACAGTATGCAGTCAAATCTATAGATTTATAAAAGAGTTGAAACATAAATACATATAGTTTACATTGCCGACACAGGATAGCAATCCCTATGTCTAACATACTGTGACTTTCATCGCAGGCAGAACAAAAACTAGAGCTAGGTGATCTAGTGATCAGAAAAAATCTTTTAAGGGCATAAAATACAGAAAAGTAGTCTCATAGTTTTTTTTAAATGTTGGAGATCCCATTTTCTTTTTTGGCACTAAATTAGGTAGCAAGATATCTCTAATGCAGCATCATCATGCAGCTATTCCCACCAATGACCATACATCAAAATGCTGTAAGAATTTATTGATGACAGGAAAGTAATCAGTCCTCATTTACGTAGTATTGTATACCCCCACAAAAGATTTGGTCAAGTGGTAATTATTGCCTGAACAGGTTCATGCATGATTAAAAAGTTTTCTATGGTGTAGCATAGAATTTTAACTCACCTCTTCAAAATGTTGTTCTAAATTCTGCTTAAGCTTTATACGTTCATCTAGTTCTTCTGAAACAGTTTTTGTTTTAGCTGGGGTTCCTATCTCTTCTTCAGCATCATCTCCTAGGAAAATCCTTTCATCGAAATCTCCAACACTAAGTACAAACTCTTCATACTCACTATTCACAGCTTTACTGAAATGCAAATTAAACAATCATTTTAATATAATGTAAATTTTCCGATTGCAGAAACTTCTTTGCTGCTTTCTGGAATAATAACAAAACATGTGAAAAATTTTGGTATTTTTAGTGCAAATAATGTCAACATTATCAAATGTGTACAAAAATAGTACAAATGTAAAAACTCATTTTTTTCTGGAATGTTATTTTCATTATGATTGAAATCTTGACTTAACTGAAACTCGTCTAGAAAGATGATATATGGCTTACTACCAAATACAGCACAGTGACTTATTCAGTAATTTACATTTCTTAAAATTTTTCTCCAATAAGCCAAATATCTCAAAATGACATGAAATGAAAATAACAAATGTTAGCTATTTTGGTACACTTTTGAAGATGATGTTAATGAGGAGAGAACAGTTAGCAATGAACCATCATGCCTTAACTAACCTGACTAATCTCTTGGCTAGCTTTTGATGTTCTTTGTTGATGGCCAGACTGAAATGCAGGTGAAAACTCAATGATGATTATATGAACAACATCAAAATACAGGTGTATGATGCAATGAAGTAGAGACATGAGATGGCAGTGCACAAAATACAAATACTGATACATGATATAATTTTTTTTATTTTGATGATGATAGGATCATTTTCATTCCACGACAAAATGTCCATTTATCCCTGGCATTTAAATTCAGTTTGATGGTACACACACAAAAAAGGTAAATACAACAAATAAACTGTCGACACAAAGATATGCCTCGCCTGTCCGCATAAAATTCAGAAAAAGACTATCTGACGGACAGCAACATTGCTTATTAATTCAAAGTCTCTGGACCATGATCTTGTAGGCAGGGCCTAGAAATGGTTGACAAACCGAGATGTACTGAAAGTAATGCAACTTTATACAAAATATCATTGATCTGTCACAAGTAGGTCTTATCAAACTGACTGAAGCAGAAAACTTAACATTGAAAATTGCTAATTAATTCAGAGTCACTGGACCATGACTTAGGGGACAGGGCCTCGAAATAGTGATCAAACTGATATGTACTGATAGCAATGCAACTTCATACAAAATATCAATGATCTATCACAAGTAGTTAACTTAACAATTGTTGGCGCCACCACTGCAGCTGTTGCCAGAAAAGCAATTCCTATGTCTAGCTTTCCGAGACTTTTGTGGCTGGCATACAAAAATTGTAGAATCTGGATATATATCCATGAATTCTAGTAAATGTAACAATTCTTAATTTTGGTGAATTCTCATGCTATATGGTATATTGCACAGACCACAAATTCAAAGATTGTTTTTCAAACATGCAAAAACATGGATGAAACAGCCGTATCAATTCTAATGAAGTCTAATACTTCAAGGTCAATTTTGTCAAATTGCTGTCATAAAAACATTAACCTTTGTACATTATTTTAATTTCCCTCCTCACCAACAAAGTTGCTTCAGATTACAAGATGTAATCCAGAATTAATCGTATTTCTACGGGACTTTAGTCTAATTCTTACATTCAAATTCAAATTACAAGATTAAAAAGAATTCTTATTTAATAATGACAATGTCCTTGGTTGTAGTTCCTTGCAAAAGGTAAACAAATGATAGACATCACAAACAACGTTGATTTCAAATCCGTAAGAAATTAAAACGATACTGTATCCATGTACAGCAAAATTAAAAGATAATACAAAACTTCTAAATTTAATATATATGTTAATTTAAGGGTTGAGGTTCGGCAATTTATTTAGACCAACAATACTCATTAAAGACCTTACGATACTTGGGTATTTACTTTTATACACGATTTGTTATACTAGTCTTTCGGATTTCGCATTCTTTATTTTGTAGAACATGAAAAAGTGAATTAAGCTACTGTATCCCAGCACCGCATCTCAATAACAAGTAGAACTCAGCCCACACCTAAAGTACTTTTTTTACTTGGATACAGGGTAACATTGTTCCTTAAGGTAAACTTCAATTACGAAACAAATATTATGGCACATTGAAAATAATGCAAGTAATATATCACTTCTTTCTTCATTAAACTTTCTGAAACCCGCGGGGACAAAGAGAAAATCTATATGAATTCACAGTTCATCTAAATGTTTATTTTAACAAACAACAATCACTTGATCCTAACAAAGATTCAATATGTCAAACAAAGCCTTGATATACAGCAACCACTAAATTAATTGACTAAGTTAAGGATTATTTTGATTATAATAAAATACCTTTTAGCGATATTCATGAAAAAAAAAGAGACGATTAAGCAAAAATAAATCCCCAACAGTCTAGAACATTTTTCTTTTGCTACCCTATAAACAACCTTTTATTGACTTAAGAATACCTTTCTATTAGGACAATATTACAATATTCAATAAAATATCTGATAGATACTTTTTATGACACTTTATTAAACATCCAATTCTTGTAATCATGTGGATAAATGCATAAAGCTTGTAAGTCTTCAACCTATAAAATTGATTTTACCCTTCAACATGTGAAAGTTACTGTCAATAGAAATATGAAATGCCTCAAAAATCATAAACAAATCATAAAACTTGTATGTACTATCAAACACTAACAAGCTATAACTAGATCCTTCAAATGGCACGAAATTTTTTATAACCGATAATTGATCTGCAATAACTTTCACAAATTTGTTATACAATTTTAAGTTTTACTTGAAAGTTTTAGATTTAAACGAATACATTTCATGATGACTAATCATCGATTTTGCATCAAGGATGATAATACTGCTGTGTCAGCAGTTTTTGTCAAAAAGTCAATTACATCTTTGTTTTTTCCGTGAACAGCAATTGAAAATTTGAATGGGACACTTGCCAAAACCCCCCACAAGCAACTTCTCTCAAACATAAAAATCTAAGTAAACATCATATAAGCTTAAAATATAATCTTTTTCCAATCAACAGCAGATATAAAATACATCCCGATAAAACAGTCAGAGAAATTAAACATCCTAACAATCATCAATTGAACATTATCTTCGCAATAAAAGATGGCTTTATGCCCATATTTCAGTAAAGCCATTAAAACACTATCAAAGGACATTTACAAGGAAATTAAATAACAATGCTATCTGATAAACACACTTCCATCTAGGACAAAATTCTGACCAAATAAAGTCATCATCATAGATCTGGACCATAATGAGAAACATATTTATATGAGAAATCTTTTTAGTCAATACTTTTAAAGCACCAAGTATAAAATAAGGAGATGTGGTATAATCAGGGTTGCTAATGAGACAACTGTCCACCAGAGACTAAATGAAATAGATGTTAGCCTTAAAGACTTCAACAATGAGCAAAACCCATACTTCATAGCAAACTTTAAAAGGCCCAGCCATAACAAAATGTAAACCATTAAATAAAAAAAAAATAATTCAAATGAGAAATCAAACGGCCTGATTTATGTACAAAACAGCTAACGAAAAACAAACCTGATATACAGCAACAAATGACAACCACTGAATTACAGGCTCCTGACTTGGGACAGGCACATACAGAATGTGAAAATCTAGTTCATGTTTCATTTTTTATTTTCTTTCATAATGCTGTGAAACTTGAGTCAGTATGTCATTCATGCTGTCAACTTGTCATACCTTTTTTCTGCCAGGAAGAGGATGAGATGATGTGTGGTGTCAGATGTCATGAGTAACTATAGGCCTTCTCATGTAATGAAGGTTTTACTTACTCTGCCTGCTCTGTATTAATGAAATGAAAACACATGCCCTTTCCTTCTGATATATTCAACAACTTGAGCTAACTTATAGTATGTTCAAATCACACCAATTCACGAAATTTTAAAAAGGTGTTCTGGAGGATAATACAACCTAGAATAAACAGCTGCGCCATGAGCGCATGATTCGCCGTCCCATTTTCAAAGAATAAAGTTCAACAACTTCTCAATGTCATATCAGAAATTTATAAAACACTAAAGGGAGGTTATCTTAATAGATATAAATCAGTCACCATAGTTTAATCAAAACTGCCCAAAGCACTTTAAAGATAATGTCAGAAAACTAGAAAACACCCCCTTTTTTATGAATAAAATTCCATAACTCATAAATTTAAAATTGAAAATATTTAAAAATCAAATGGGAGCAAAAGACAACAGATATAAACAATTTACCAAAGTTTCATGAGAACTCCTGAAAGCATTTTTGAGTTATTGTGCGAAAAATGGAAAATCCCCCCTTTTTTAATGAAGAAAACCCCATAACTCGGAAACGTAAAACACAAAATTTTAAAAAATCAAAAGGGAGCTCATGTCAAAAGATATAAACAATTCACCAAAGTTTCTTGCAAATTGGTGAAAGTATTTTTGAGTTATTGTTCGAAAACTGAAAAATACCCCTTTTTTTAATGAATAAAACCCCACTGGAAAATACCCCTTTTTTTAATGAATAAAACCCTATAACTCGGAAACGTAAAATCTTAAATTTATAAAAAACGAAAGGGAGCTCACGCCAATAGATATGAACAATTCACCAAAGTTTCATGCAAATTGGTTAAAGCGTTTTTGAGTTAATGTCCGACATGTTGACGATGGACATATAGAGGGACGGACAGACAACTGTATACTGTAATACGTCCAGTAAACGGGCGTGTAAAAAGGGGAGAGGGAGGTGGGCTAAGCCTAAATTTTGTTGAAATTTACATAATCTGAAAAAAAAATCAAAGAAAAGCATTCAGCATTATTTTGTTTAAATGCTTATTGTTTGCGAAAACGGAAAACTATTTTTGATATCTTGACTTTAATACCACTGATTGTTTTTAATAACTTGAAGACATTGACAAAATTGATTGCAAATATAATACTTCTTTGTATGCAGATTTCATAGTTATTCATCACATTTCTGACATTTCAGTAATAAATATCACTTAAGCAGTTTGATATTCGATCAATCATAAATATTCCCCTAATTTATTGTTATCAAAGTAAAATCTATATTCAACTTCCTTTGAATGCATTTTTCATCATTATCGCAGCTTAAATACATTAAAATTGATCACCTTTTTTATACTTTATCAATAAGTTATTTGATGGATAAATAAAAATGCTATGCAGTGTCACCCTCTGCAAAGGCACACTTATCTAAAATTGATATTGATGTATTTGTTTCTTTCAATAAAAGAAAATTAGAAATCTGAGACATATAGAACTTATTAATCAGTGTTTTTAACATCTACAGAAAATCTATTAGTAAAATTTGTATCGTAATAGACAGCAATTAGCACCTTAATTATCTCAAATAAATATACATTTATGTACCTGGAACCAAGGTACAACAAACAGGTTGAAGATATAGAACCAAAATAAAAATCCACAGGGAAATACACTAAGAACTAGTACAATACACGTGTCTGGACAAAAATAGACATGTGCAAACTTCAAACATGAAACACTAAAGCTTTGGGCCACATAAAATCTTATCAAAACTATGAGTGATATAAGACGCT